GCGAGATATAACAAAAATGAGGAATTATTTCGATGAAACAAAATGCAAAAATAGCACTAAATAAAATATCAATAAAAGATCTGCAAGGTAAGTCATGTTGGTATGTATGTCAGAAAATATGTTATACACATTCCATTATGGCGCATAAACTGATTGTAATAGTTTTGTTTTCAGGCATGAACCATTGATCACCAGAATAAAAATTACATTTAATTTCATGAAATCGTCCCAGTTTGTGTCTTTCATGCGGCGAACTCTCACGAGCCACGTCAGTTTGTAAGCAAACTGAAGACATCGCCGACACTCAATCATCGTTCAGTAAACATCGTTCGGCACTTGGCTAAGAAACAAGCATCATGAATCTCTGCTCGCACTGTAAAAAAGCTGCATGATCTATTTAACTGTGATGCCTAATGATAATTAAAAAGTGATGTGTATTAAAGGTCAGAACATCCAAAGCTGTGCTTTCGCTCAACGTAGAACTTCCTGACATTACAGAACGATTTTTCCATAAACGGGGGCTTGATTGGTGCAACACTAAATAATTTATTAATAATGACAATGGCGACTAACGCTTCATTTATTATCATTTTTATTCTCTAAAATTGTTTATAAATGTTGAACCAACTTTTCGAACATCAACAAAGATGGAGACGAAACCATAGAAGACAAAACGATCAAGGAATATGCCAATTATGTAATCTATTGGGCTAAAATATAGTGATCGACTGTCATACTCCGCAGTGATAAAGTTTCAACCCTGTACTCGGGAGCCACAGTCCTAAATGGAAAACACAGCAATAAAACACTTGATGGGAAAACAAAGTAATAAAACACACGATGGGAAATAGCAAAGCCATAAAACACATGATGGGAAATAGAAAAAGCAATAGCGGGAACACCGAGGCCGGGATCCTTGGCATTGGGAGCAAAAGCTACGTCGTTCAAGGACCAGAAGAACGAGAAAAAATTCGTCGTCGTTTTTTTAAACAATGTTGCTTAGTTGACAATCAAGTGGAGGAACGCTTTGCATATATGTACATTAATGCATGTTATAATTAGTTATCGTTCCGAATGAGCGCTTCGGAAAAATACCATATCAATAAATTAAAAATAAGTACATGTAATATACCGCTTAGAATTCTACTTTGCATGCTAATTTCTACTTAAATTTTCACTTTCGTGCCTTAAGTAAAACCAACATGCACGTATCACTTTTCAATTACTTTTCAATAGTTTTCAATTACTTTCAAATACTTTTCACTTTCATTGACTTAGATGAATGGTCCAGCGTTTTCTAAGAGCTGTTGTGTTACGAAAAGTTTCTCTGAATGAGTAACGTAAGCTGGCGATCGCTCGAACAGTTCATTAGAATGCAAACGCTGACACAATTGAGACGCGCATGTCAGACGTTCACTATATAAATGAGAAACGGCCGGTCGAGCGACAAGCGAATTGAGTAACGTCAATTCATTCCAGGAGCAATCTTTGATTGTTGATACTGATTACAATTTACAACTCAGTTTCATTGTTAGCAAAATTTTCGAACCTGTGATTTAATATTAGATTAACTCGTTTGAAATGCGCAATTCAAAATCTGTAATGATTTTTTTATCAGACAATTACCGGATAATAATGTACCGGTACCTAGTTTATAAGAAATCCAAATAATGTTCAGCAAAACATAAACGAATCTGAAAAAAACTACTTTAAAATCGCGTCGTTTTTCGGTAGAAAGAAGCGGTCGCATAGAAGCTAAAAGAGGTAAACATGAAAACAATTTTTTCATTCGAAGAAAACCCCATCACCTTCTGAGCGAGTTACTCACAATTGGTGGAGATCCTTCTTCCGTTGAATGTAAATAATAACACTTTTTGTTTACTTTCCTTACATTTCGTGACCACTTTCCTACCGTAAAGACAGGGATAACAATAAATGTTAATCATTAACCATGGCACATGGCCAGGCTTTCGAAATAGTTTGATATTTGCTCGCATATTAAAGAGCGTGGCGGAGCTTTGAGAATGTAATGCAATTAAAGTAGGTATCCTGAGACCTTACTGAGATATGCATCGACTACGAAGACGATGTAGCGAATGAACGACCACTACGACCAGGGCCATACTTTCAAAACTCGCTAAGTGAACGTAAGTACTTACGCTCTATTTTCTTGTCTGTGATTGGTGGATGTTGCTTGAAAGGCCGTCAATGATTGGCGGATGAACTTACGATCTCTTAACTTTTTTTGAAAGTATAGGCCCAGGACAGTACAGATGCATCGACTACGAAGACGATGTAGCGAATGTCGCACTGCGACCATGACAGTACAGATGCATCGCTACGAAGACGATGTAGCGAATGTCGCACTGTGACCATGACAGTACAGATGCATCGGCTATACGAAGACGATGTAGCGAATGTCGCACTGCGACCCCGACAGTACAGATGCATCGGCTATACGAAGACGATGAAGCGAATGTCACACTGCGACCATGACAGTACAGATGCATCGGCTATACGAAGACGATGTAGCGAATGTCGCACTGCGACCCCGACAGTACAGATGCATCGGCTATACGAAGACGATTTAGCGAATGTCGCACTTCGACCCCGACAGTACAGATGCATCGGCTATACGAAGACGATGCAGCGAATGTCACACTGCGACCATGACAGTACAGATGCATCGACTACGAAGACGATGTAGCGAATGTCGCACTATGACCATGACAGTACAGAGGCATCGGCTACGAAGACGATGTAGCGAATGTCGCACTGCGACCATGACTGTACAGATGCACCGACTAAGAACAAAGACGATGTAACGGACATTAAACCATGACCATGACCAGTTCCATCTAATCCGATCAAAGACTGTGCCAGCACACACGGTACAGTTGCATTGACTTTGAACAAAGACGATGTCACGAACGTGGCAAGACGGTACAAGGTCACGGAATCGATCGTCGTACAAACGCAACTGGTATTTGAGGTTCCAGGAATTTCTTCTGCGATGCAGCTAGTGCCTAGAACTGTAATTTTCGATACCGTAGCAAGCGATTACTACGTTGCTACGGGAGCCGTTGAGTGCTAGAGATGCTACGGGAGCTGTTGAGTGCTTGCGTTGCTACGGGAGCTGATGAGTGCTCGAGATGCTACGGGAGTTGTTGAGTGCTTGCGATGCTACGGGAGTTGTTGAGTGCTTGCGATGCTACGGGAGCTGTTGAGTGCTTGCGTTGCTACGGGAGCTGTTGAGTGCTTGCGATGCTACGGGAGCTGTTGAGTGCTCGAGATGCTACGGGAGTTGTTGAGTGCTTGCGATGCTACGGGAGTTGTTGAGTGCTTGCGATGCTACGGGAGTTGTTGAGTGCTTGCGATGCTACGGGAGCTGTTAATGTATGTAAAAGTCGATAAGGAGCTCGTTTACATTATACTTAATATATTCCACCTAATTTTCAAACCGGTCAAAGCTCACGAAAGAAAGACAACAAAGTTATCTTCTTTGAATACAGTGCTTGTTATTCAGGTACGTATTCATATCATACATGGATGGTAGAGGGTTCGAGACAGTGGAATAATATATAAATAGCAATATTAAAACTCTGAAGCCATTAATCAACATAGCAAATAGTGTCGTGAAATAATTGTTCACAGCTTATAACACATTTCAGTTTCAGATTCATACGCTCAAAATTGTTTAAAGGGTTCATGGAAATGGACCGCGGAATAAATCAACTAGCAGCAAAAAACACGATTAGAATTTTTCCTTTCTTCCATTAACAACATGCATCGTAATGGGTACGTTATTCAAGAATCAGCAAGAGTACAGATACGAACTTTACCAAAAATCAATTATATAATGAAGAAAGAACAAGAAATGACCATACACTAACTTGCCACCAGTAACCGCTTCAAAAGGAAACTTTATATTTCATAAACAGAATTTAATTGGAACATCAGAGTGAGATGTAGCACAGCTTTGCAGTTTTTCATATTAATAGAAACCAACCAATTATTTTATTGCTGATGTACATTATGCAACTTAATTAATGAGTAGCGAGTTAGGTACAGTATACGTGACATAACAAATTTCGATAAACCGACTGCAAAAATTACAATTTTTAGTCCGTGTGATTTACATAAATTTACCGTAAATTCCCTATTAACATTACCCTGATAATTACCATTATCCTAATAAAAATGGTGATAAAGAATTGTTTCCGATAAAAGAATACCTGACATGATTTCTGATATAGTACCTACGCATGGAATGAAGAGAATGAGCTCGAAAGCGACCCAGCTTTTGCTGACCTCAGGAACAAAGGAGGTATGACACAAAGAACAGACCTCATAATCAACTATAGGAAAGCTGTCACCGATACGGAAACAAGCGAAACTAATCAGCTCTCTCTTACAACCTGGAAAATCAGCGCTGAAATAATAAATTTACAGTTACATATTCTGTCAATGAACTTAATAATTCTCCGAGATAAACGAACGTGAAGTTTGTCCTGTATTATGAACAACATTAAAAATGTAATCGGTAGAAGTTCCTACGATAAAAACGACAAGTTATGCTCCAATGTTAAGAGCAAACGACGACCGGTAGGTAGGTGAACGCATTCATATCCATATTATTCATATCAAAGTCATACAAAGCTGTTTCTGCATCTTATAAAGAAGAATTAATAAATAACTCGTACATCAATACACGGAGTAATTGAAGTTATCAAGTGTTGCCCGATAATGATAAATTGTATAATGTATACATAATATTTTCAGAACATAATCGATGTTTAATACTTAGTCAATCTTTAGGTTTATCATTAAAATTACGGCATGAGAGCGTTGATAATTAGTTCAGCGCCATTCGAAAAATTTCACTGTTGCCACATTGTTGCGGGATGCAAGGTAACGGATTTGAACAACGGAATACTTGAGGATAATCGTCGGACGATTGTCCGTAAAAGCCAAAAATCAGGAAATATAACATGACTCACCTCGAGTTTACGGCTGAACTCCTCGGCCATTTGTTCGTTGTCGCGGACGAGGTCATCGTTCCTCTTGAGCAGCGCCTTACCAAGCTCCGCGGCCATCACGAGATCGTTCTCCCGCTTGGCCAAGTCCGCCTCGGGGTCTTTGGGACCATCCTCTTCATCGTCGTCTGCAGTGGTCCTGTTAGCCTCACACTGCATTTGGTAGATGTAATCCTCGAGCTCATAAGTCGTGTCATCCACTCCAGAAGGCATGATGGACAGAGGGTGGATGGATCGAGCTCCAGAGCCACTCCTCTTGGAGTTGCTCCATTTCTCCAGTAAACTCTCCACGGTTGGAGGGCTTGGACTTCTTCTCAACGAGGAAGGAATTTTTACGTATTTTTGGTAACGTACGCGAGGAATAGAATCCGAAATCAATCGGATTTGATTGGCGGTCGCTTAACAGTTTTGTTCTTTTCCTGACTACGTAAACGAAGTTTCAGTTGAGGCCTTACATGTCAGAAACTATTCTGACGTTTTCAAAATGATGTATAGTTATCGCTAATAAAGATTAGGATTTAAATAGTTAAAAGCAATTTGTTCTCAGAGAACCGTCTTCCTGTCGAACACACGAAAGTGGTAGTCAGCTATCTCGGCTAGCATCAAGATACCTAAGCAAATCGAGAATTGCGAAGGAATGTATGATCCGAAACATGCGCGTACCAACTCATGTCGATAGAAGGAACGTAAAAAAAATTGTTTCGAAATCCGTTGCAGAGATTTTATTTTAATATAATTCGAATTAATTAAGCGTTTGCGAAAGGCCAAAATAAATCTCAGCATTGAAGCCTTCGTGAAGAATTTGCATTTACAAGCCTTAGGCCATTAAATTTCAGGCTAAAACCTGTGATACAAATAACAGTTCACTGTGAAGCATTCTAGTGAATTTTTAACGAATTTTGTTTAGGGAAAGACTAATTGAATATTATGGCTGTGATCATGTCTATGGCATAACACGTAATAGAATATGTTATTGATAATGCTAGATTACTAATACTAAATAGGTAGGTAATGGGCAGTGAAAAGCACATCGTTAACAAGTTAATAGCATTTCAAGCTGAATTAAATTCTCCACGTAACGTCCTTGAAATATTTCTAACGTTTCTTTGTTTGAATTATCTATGTTTTTAGAATAAAGTTAAATTTCAAATCTATTAAATCAAGCCATGTATGCAGTTCATTAACCATCGATTTTCATGGTCGATCAAAGTGAATGTCACTTAATGCTCACCGAGTTTCGTCATCACGTCATGCTCATACTAATGAATAAAACAGATGCCGAGACAACCAATGCTAATGAGACATGTACATTTATCATGAATATAAATGGGGTAAATTTTAGGAATTTTGTTTATTCAGTCGTCAAGCGTAGCAGGTATCCATGACTCGCGTACAGATGCTTCCCCTAAAGGCTAAATGTCCCAGGCATTTGAATCGGAAATCAAGTGCAATGACAATTCAACCAACACAGGAACGGCAGTGTCTAATAACTTGAAACCTAGTTAGCACTTTTGAGAAAAATTACTTAATTACACAATAAATTCAACGCTAAAACACTGTAGATCTTATAACAAACCTCGAGTTATCAAGAACTTCTATCAAACTCGCAATTTTCTCACAGCACCACTTGAATAGCAAACGTTCACTTTGCTCTCTAGATCCTGGAATGTCGGAGCAAAACGGACAACTACCTCCTACTTTCACCAGCAGATACGCACTGATCACTTGTGATCATTGAAGTTCCCAGGTGCCGTGACGTCAACATCAGCCCCCCCCCGTCCGCACCCCTCTCACCCCAACCCGCCAAGCATCTCACCTGCTTCTGTTTGTTGCTTTATTTTTTATTATTTAACCTTTGCTGTTCAGATGCAAATGTACCTAAACTCGTTACGATCATAACGTTGTAAAATTATGCAGTCTAACAAGGTATAAAAACCTAAATCCACGAGGCCAGTAGTAGTGTCCGTTACAACTGGCCAGTAATAACCGCCACTAACTGCTACAATACTGGCCTAGTGTCAAGATGTACTGGCTGCTTCATACGGCAGTAGCGAATGATAAAGAAAAAATAAGTAAAATGACCATATCTGAGCTTAGCGGCCAGTATCCGGTATAATAGCTATAAATATTTTTACTGCTATTGTTTTTTTAGCCTACGTGCTTTCCAATTTTTTTTTTTTTTTTTTTTTTGAGCGTTTGTCAAAGAGCGAACGCACAACACCGCAAAGGACGAAGAAACACAGGAAACAAATTTTGAATTGCAAATATAATATTAGGCTAAGTTTTCATGAATTAGAATGTATGTATAACATGAAATAAAACAATTGTTGGGGAAAATGTCTCATCAATATTACACCGGATGTGTAAAAATTTTATTACTGGGGGTTATATGGAAATCTTTTTTACGTGTTGTTTAAACTAAATAAACATTTTCTGACGATTCCTCTTTAATTGTCAATTAATTAATAACTTTATTTAGTTTCAGAACCATTTGACAAATTTTCAGTTACTAACCATGCCGTACAATGCTGTGATCAATTGTTAATTTTTGCTATTTTATAATAGGGAGAGACAAACTTAAGAAAGTTGAATATATAAAAGCAGAAAAATACGCACTTGACCTGGTGCTAGATTTAAGCGCGCACTTGAGAGGCGCAGTGTTTGCTCGTCTGCGCAGGCGCAGCGCCGGAAGTCGTGAACCGCGCAGCAGTTTCCTTTGAGATGAAGATAACGTAACCCGTTACTGCATGCGGGTTAACGGTTAAATTTTTGACGAACTACTATACTCACTTAATATAACGAACAAAATTTTGAGCCGTACTATAACGAAGAAAATATTTATCCCTACTACGGTATAACGAACAGAATATTGAGTCGTACTGTAACGAACAAAATTTTGAGCCGTACTATAACGAACAAAATTTAGAGCCGCACAATGACGAACAAAATTTTGAGATGTACTATATCGAACAAAATTTTGAGATGTACTATAACGAATAAAATTTTAAGCCGAACTGTCTCGAACAAAATTTTGAGCCGTACTGTAACGAACAAAATTTTGAGATGTACTATAACGAACAAAATTTTGAGGCGTACTATAACGAATAAAATTTTAAGCCGAACTGTCTCGAACAAAATTTTGAGCCGTACTATAACGAACAAAATTTTGAGCCGTACTATAACGAATAAAATTTTGAGCTGTACTATAACGAATAAAATTTTGAGTCGAACTATAACGAACAAAATTTTGAGCCGTACTATAACGAACAAAATTTTAAGCTGTACTATAACGAACAAAATTTTGAGATGTACTGTAACGAACAAAATTTTGAGCCGTACTATAACGAACAAAATTTTGAGCCGCACTATGACGAACAAAATTTTGAGTCGTACTATAATGACAAAATTTTGAGATGTACTATAATGAACAAAATTTTGAGATGTACTGGAACGAAAAAGTTTTTTGAGCCGTTCTGTATCGAACAAAATATTGAGCCGTACTGCAATGAACAAAATTTTTAGTCGTACTGTAACCTTCAAAATTTTGAGCTGTACTGTAACGAACAAAATTTTGAGCGGTACAATATCGAACAAAATTCTGAGTCGTACTATATCGCACAAAATTTTGAGATCTGCTATATATTACGAACCTTTACGCATTCGTATGTCAATCGCTAACGGTTTTTCAAGCTAAATTAACCAATCACTTATGAGAAAGCTGCCGCTACGTGTACTTGAGCGACTTACGTTAATTAATCCGGTACATAATTTTAATCGTAAGGATATAGGAGATGAAATTTAGGGAAGGCTCTTAGGAGAATAAAGTTTTTAAGGACTATTTTCAGTGACAAATCAGATACTTATCGTGTTGGTATATCGCCTGGGGCCTTAGTATCAAAATTCGATTAACTACACTATTAAGTATTCGATTATTAAGTGCACTATTCCTATTCGATTAAGTCTTTTCTTGCTGTGAAAGCTACGTGTACTTGAGCGACTTATGTTAGTATGTAAGAACAGCGTAAGGATTTGGCAGATGAGTTTTACCTCAAATTTATGGAGAGCTCATAAGAGAACAAAGTTTTTCAGGACTATATTCAGTGACTTATCATATACTAATCGGGAATCCGTTTATTATTGACGGATTTATGAGTGCCTGAGTTGAAAATGAAGTTAGGTTTTCCGTATTAACAAAAAAGTTATTGAAGTAAAAATTTGAAAAAATTACGTCCACAAATTACTGATATTATCTACTTATATTTGAAATTTGAATAAAATCCGTTCATTATTGACGGATTTATGAGTGCCTGAGTTGAAAATGAAGTTAGGTTTTCCGTATTAACAAAAAAGTTATTGAAGTAAAAATTTGAAAAAATTACGTCCACAAATTACTGATATTATCTACTTATATTTGAAATTTGAATAAAATCCGTTCATTATTGACGGATTTATGAGTGCCTGAGTTGAAAATGAAGTTAGGTTTTCCGTATTAACAAAAAAGTTATTGAAGTAAAAATTTGAAAAAATTACGTCCACAAATTACTGATATTATCTACTTATATTTGAAATTTGAATAAAATCCGTTCATTATTGACGGATTTATGAGTGCCTGAGTTGAAAATGAAGTTAGGTTTTGCATTCGAGTTCGCAAGCGAGTTCGCTGAAGTGTCGATTGGGTCTAATCGGGTCGGTGTATTGCCTGAGGCCGTACTATCAAAATTCACTTAAGTACACATCTTCTTTTGCTGTGAAAATCGAAAAATCCATGGTTTAATTAATACCATGGATATACCATACCACACCAAAATTAATATTAATTCAACCATGGAAAAATCCGTCCTGGCGAGTCCGCTCAAACCGCGCGTCTGCAACGTCGGTCCGGGGCCACGTGAGGCAGCGGCCTGCGTACCAGAGAAGCCCTACAATATTTCCTTCCTATCGCTTTCACGTTGTTTTTTAGCGAGATTTACCTTCTGGAGAGATTTTTTAAAATAAAAATTTCATTATTTGTTTTCTTTGCCGCAGGTGAAATTTGAGATGAATAAAAGTATTTATATCAGAGCGTCGTATAATATACGTATGACCGTAATATGATTAAGTATAACATAACATAACATAACATAACATAACATAGTGATGTCGGCTCTGAAGTGTAGGCCTGATGTGGCCTGTCGCCGATTCTTTTCCATTTCGTGCCTTGTTCATAGATCTAAACTCGTGTCATTTGACCGGATCTTTTCATGACTGGCGATAGTTTGAAGAAGCTACTAGACTTCAACCGGGTTCGATAAGGAGCTAGGCATTTCAAATCT